TCATAGGGCTTAACATCCCGAACGAACTTTCAAACATAACTAAGAGTTTTCCAACTCATAGAGTCATATGCTTGTTCCATATCAATTTTAAATGAAACAAGACCTTTTGAAGATTTAGAATACGTGAATTTATGGAATATTTCTTGAGCCACCAGCACATGATCGGAAAGAGACCTCCCCTTGATGAATGTCGCCTGTTCCATTCAGACAAGTTTAGGGATCACCATTACCAACCTGTTTAAGATCACCTTGGCTGCCACTTTATAAATCGCATTGTATAAGCTAATTGTTCTATAATTAACAGGAAATAATGGATTACTAACATTGGGAATGAGGACAATAAGTGTATCTTTCCAGTTTTTATCCATTTCACCATGTTGCAGAAAATATATAATGGCATTTAGAAAATCTGTTTTGATGATGCTCCAGTAACCTTTGATAAATGAGTAAGAAATCCCATCAAGTCCAGGTGCTATATTACCTTTGGTGTGCTCAATGGCCTGTTCAATTTCAGATACAAAGAATTCATCTTCAATAATTCTCCTATCATCAGCACTTAGAGTTGCTTGCGATTTTGTCCAGCCATGAGTTACAGCATCTCTAAATTTCCATTTCTGAGTGAAGAATTGAGATAAAATTTCCTCAATTTGCTTCTGTTCCTCCACCAAATTGCCATTTCCATCTTTAATCTTGAGAATACTGTTAGAATTTCTTCTAGCACTAGCATAGGAATGGAAGAACTTTGTGTTGCTATCACCATCAACCCACCATTTTACCTTAGCTCTCTGCTTCCACCAATCATTCAAACGTTCCATAACAGAATTAAGATCATTAACCTTATTCTTCAGCACCCAGCATTCAACTTCTGTCAGAAAACCAGAAATGGACTCCTTGGATTGCAGCTCCATGATCTCATCCAGCAATTATTTCTTCAACAGGTTCAAATCTTTGTTTCTTTTCTTACTCCAGAAGAACAAGGCCCTAAGAGTTTTCTTGAATTTAGAGTTCAGCACTTGTGCAAAGCTGCCTTGATAGAATTTTCCCCATTCCTTTTTCACCAAAGAGAAAGAAACAGGCTTTGAGACCCATACATCCTCAAACCGGATTATTTTCTTGTTAACAGATATGGCATCCATAAAATTAAGAAGAATGGGGCTATGATCTAAGGAGATCCTAGCAAGATCTCTAACAACCATATGTTGAGATGAATTTAAGGCCATTGAGTTAAGAAATCATCTATCCAACCTCTCTAGAATTCGGCCCCCACTGACTTTATTGTTGCACCATGTAAACCTTTGACCAATAAATCCAATTTCATAGTAATCATTGTTAGAAAAGAAAGCACTCATCTCCTTCGGCCCTTGGGAGAATTGAAACCTTCTCCCACCTCTTTTGTCTTCTCTAGAAGTAAGACAATTAAAGTCACCTCCTACCACCATTGGAGAATTGGCCGTAGAGTTCACCTCCAAAATTTCCCAAAGCTCCCTTCTTTAATGCATATCTTTATTGCCATAAACAGTAACAATCCTCCAAATGCCCTTATTGTTGATTTTCAAATCTCCAATAACACATTGAGATGAGGAATCAACAATTTGGAAATCTAAAATCAAAGAATCCCATAAAATGATAATGCCTCCCGACAACCCTTATAAAGGCATATTGTAAAATTTCCATCTATCACCAATCAATACTTTAACCTCCTTAGAGTCTATAGAGGTCAATTTTGTTTCAACCAGTCCCAAAAAGAAAACTCCAAATGTATTAACAAATTCTTTGAGATATAGAGAAGCACCTTTCTTTTTGCTCCTCTACAATTCCAGAATGCTATTGAAGACATTATTGAAAGGGTGGGAATATGGCCCCCAAATGACCTTTTGTTTCCATCTCTAATCTTCTATTTCTAGTATGAGAACTGATTGGACCGAGATCCTTCAATTGTTTTGATTTTTTTTCTTTTTTACAAGAGTACTTCCAGCAACCTCCATACTAGCCTCTTCAATCTGCACAGGATCAGCTTTAGCAGAATCTACAGGATTTACTAAAACTTCAGCAGCCACTTCCATTGTTTGAGTTTCCTGTAGAATTTCACCTTCTTCAACAAGGTCAATAAGAGCATTAAACTTTTTGTTACTTGTATGAGAGTTAAGATTGCTGCCCAACACTGACTCTACAGCTTGTAATGAACCCGTTGCTTCAGTTTGAACATGAATTCCTTCTATTTTCTCTGGAGCAGAATCAGAATTAACTTTATCTTTTACCAATGGAGGAATAGCTTTACTGCCTTCAATTTTCTTCCATGACGTAATCTCCCTTGGTTTTTGAATGATTTTCTTTGAATTCCTGGAAAAATTTCTTCTCCGGTTAACAACTAACCAAGGTCCATAGCCCACATCTTCTTTAATCAGGTCCCCATTCATTTTGTTCTAATTGTCTTCTTCACCAATAGAAATAGGATTTAAATTCTTCTCTTTGGCAACATCTATCTTCCTGATTTTACAATCTTCCTTGCTATGCCCGATCATCCCACAATTGTAACATAAAACATGTATTCTTTCATATTCTATTTTTGGTAGAATTTTTCGGAGCATCCCTCTACCCAAACTCCAAGAGGTAACTTACTATCAAGCTTGATTTTGACACAGACTCTTCCAAATTCTCACCTCCCCCACTGGAACATATTGCCATCTAGAAGGATAGGCTTCCCCACCATAGAAACAATTCTACAAATATTTATTTCATCCCAACATTGAAGAGGGAGGTTCAGCAATCTAATCCATATAGGAGCCGTCAATCCTCTAAGAGAAGTGGGTGAAAATTCTTGCGACCATCTATCAACTCCTATAATTTTTCCTTTAACAAACTAAGGGCCATTTGATAAAAACAGCTTCCAAGTGTTCTTATTCAAAGAAGGAAAAAAGAACCCAGCTCATTCCAAGCATTGTAAGATGAAATTTTCCAAGTTGGGACAATTGTCTTCTAAGTTCCGAGTTGATTACAGGTAAAGCTGCTTCGCCACCAAAAACTTTAACCACCGGTGAGTTTGACAAATTTTTAGAATTTTCCAATTCATTTTGAATATGCAGTTTTACTGTGTTTCCATCTTTAAACATAAAGTTTCCCAATTCCAGATCTCATACCTTGATGTTCTCTCTTTTCTTCCAAGCATTCTGGTTTGGCATAGCATAAGGACGAACTGGGATAAAAGGAGTTTCCACACAATCTCCCAATACAGCAGATTCAAAAATTCGAACATTTTCTAGATCAGAGAAGATTTCATTGTTTTTTAACACATGGGCATTGCAGCAATCAGTCACTTTATCTCCTTCCTTCAACTCAACCATCGAATCATTTTTAGCATTACATTTTTTATTTAGATTTTGGAACTCTATATATGAGATGTTGCTTCCAGTCATTACCTTGGACGAAGGCGAAGCATTAAAATCGCCATTTTGAATCTTAATAAATTTATTTTTAGGAACATAATCTTCCTCCATTAAAGCACCTTTTCCTTTACTCGGAACTTATGGATTCTTCTTTAGTAAACATCCGCCCTCATTAATAACAAGAGGCAAACCAGATTTCAGGCCTGTCTTCGACAAATGAGCAAACAACTTGTCATCGCTGAAGGCTAGGGGGACGAAGAAAACGTACAAGCAGGGGCGATCGAAATCCTTGAAGAAGAACGACGATCCTCTTGATGTCCACCAGCGAACTTCCACCACCATGAAATGCGAAAGAACCACACAAAACTGTTTTTTGAAATCACGAGCAGAACGAATTCCTCATAGCTTCTCTCTCTTCCTCTGATGGATAGAATGTTATTTACTTAGAGAAATGCTTGATGATTTTGATCTTATAAAAGAGTTCGAGAGAATTCATCAAGAATATAAGACCTATATGAGGTTGTATGTCAGAGTACTGCTCGATGACATTAACATGTGTGGAAGAGGTTGAGAGAATCCATCAAGAATGTATGACTATCTGAGATTGTATGTTAGAGCCTTTGCTCGATAATATTAACCTATATGAAAAAGGTCAAGAGAATCCACCAATGATGTATAACATATCCGAGGTTGTATGTCAGATCCTTACTCGATGATGTTAACCGATGTAAAAGAGGTCAAGAGAATTCACCAAGGATGTATGACCTATCCAATGTTGTATATCAGAGCACTGCTCGATGATGTTAACCTATATGAAAGAGGTCAAGAGAATCCACTAAGGATGTATGACCTATCCGATGTTGTATGTCAAAGCCATACTCGATGACGTTAACATGTGTGGAAGAAGTCGAATCGAATCCCCTTGGGATCGATTCGATTTTGCCTTGATTGAGAGGGGGCGAACGCCATGTGTATCCAGAATAAAAGGTGAAGAATGGTCTATCTTTTGACCGTTACTGTCTTTTTAAGTTCGAGATTAATACCTTGCCCAAGGAGTAGAAGTTCATCAAGGGACTGTATAAAGATTGAAATCTTTGTATTTGCTAGAAACTTTATGAAAATATTTTCTCAAAATATCATCTTGGATGTTGGAAACATTGTAGGAACTTTATTAAATATTGTTCCATTCAAGGTTGCCCCCAGTCTATATCTAATTTTCATGAATTTGATATAGCAATAATTGATGTCAAGAAGTTGATATGAATGACGTTTTGACGTTGGAGCAAAAATTGCACCCTAATTGGAAACCACATTCCCATAAACGATGCCAAACTGTTGCATCCTGGAGTATTCACAGCGATAGAGAAAAATGAAATTTAGCGGCTTAGCATTGTATGAAGATCCAACATGCATACAGATAAAGAGAGAGGGTGCGTCATTCACTAGAGACACTAAGATTTTTATGTGAAAAGCCCCTAACAAAGGGGGAAAACTCACGAGGCCTAGCCCAGTATGAATGAATCCACTAGCATTTACAGTTAATTACAAATGAGGCCCTTCTTTGGGGGAATGCCTTAGCTTGATCTACATCTTATAGAGTACATTACATGGTGGGAATGCAAAGAATCATTTTTTATGTGTTTGTTTGGTCGAAAGAACTATAGTCGATGGGCGATGTAAGTCGAAAGGATCATAGTCGGCAGGCAACGGAGGTTGGAAGGATTGCAGTCGGTGGGTGATGTAAGCCAGACGGACTATAGTCGTTGGGCAATAGAGGTCGGAAGGATTGCAATCGATGGGAGACGTAAGCCAAAAAGACCATAGGCGACGGACAACATAGGTCGGAAGGACTGTAATCGGTGGGCGACGTAAGTTGAAAGGACCGTAGTCGATGGGCAATGGTGGTCAGAAGGAATATTGTCTAATGA